TTCCAGTAAAGTCGACCTTGAGGTTTATCCAATGAACGCGCGAGTAGCCTGTCTCGCACTGTATTGGTCCAACTAATTATTTACAATTTATTTCTTGTTTTTTGTAGGTAATTAGCTTTGCACCAAAAGGTTTTTTAGGACTGTTAGACTCCCATACTCAAACTAGAGACGTAAAAATTTAGCCAGCTTAAATGCTTGACAGCATTCCTGACTTCGGGCCCTTATCACAAAACCAAGAGTGTCTTTGCCTAGAGTTTGTGCATTGAAGTACTGCTGGTGCATACCTCAATCAAGTCGAAAGGACTCACTTGAATGTGGTGTTGAAAATGCTTATTCGCAAATCCCAACATCACCTATGTGTTCTCGCTCTCTTCTTCCTTGCCTTGGGTAAAGAAGTTTTCTTTCCAATTGGCTTCGGATAGTCGATTCAATTTACTCGTTATCTTTGCTATGCACAAATCCTATTGCAGGCAGATTAATAAATCGTCAAGGAGTTGTCTTCACCATCCACTCAATCTACGTTCTAAGGGTTGCAGTAGGAGGTAAAACGTGGCTATTTTTAGCGCTTATAGACTAGTATGTACCTTTTTAAACCCACCTTAGGCTAAATGAATTGACTCAAGGTCAAACAAAATGAAGCCAGTAATTTGGAAAAATCCATACAGGGCTTGTCGTCTTGGCGAATATTTGTAGACTCAAGTACGCACACAAAATAATCTGAAGCGCTTTGGTTTTTCATCCAAAATTAGATTCAGATTACGCGAACTAGGGTGTCACCGACGTTTGAATTTGCCTTTCTAGCTGCTATCAGTCAGGACTGAGAAAGCGAAGAAGGGTTGACAATGCACCAGGCATGTCATCCTCATTACCCCACCCATTGGGTAGTTCGTTTGCCAAGTCCATTCTTTGGATTAGTCCTTTAGCCATGTAAAAGATAGTCGTGGCAAGCGAGAGAGAGAGACGCAGCGAGAGAGCGCCGAGGAAGTCACGCGTATCGATCGATACCTTCGCCTTGTCCCTGTGTCTCCTCCGCCTCCGCCTTTTCCAAGGACTTGAATGTGCGCGCCCGCCTTAAAACGCCTTAGTTGGCCAATCAGACAACGAAATGTAGCAACACTCGAGCAAGGCGTATGATTAAAATGCTTAACGAATTATAAAGCCTCCGTCATCAGCTATTAAACAAAGAAATGACCTATGGTTTATTTTTAACGGTGATTTGAAGTTTTTGTGTGAGCCTTGCATAGTTTGGAAATTATAGTTACCTTTGCAGGCGTATTGATGCCCCATGGGAGCTGATACCATACGTCACATTTCCTTTAAACAATTCGGATGGAAATCAAGTTCTCCATTCCCCAATGGCGTCCCCACTCCATTGTACTTCCTCCATGGGTCGGTACGGATGCCTTGGACTTGTTATTTAACTAATTTTTTCTCATCTTTTCCCTTCAAATTAATAGAAAACGTAAGAAGTCAAAAATGCTACTAGTCACCATTGAGGAAATTAAAAATATTTTGTGTAAGAGTGGAAACCCCTACTATTTGGAAATGGGTGGTTGGAATTAAGATTTGGAGTTTATTTCTACGCTTAAGCTCGTGGTTCGGAGACTTATTGCCTATTGAGCAGTAAGTTTCTTCACTTTTGTGCCCAACCTCCTGCCTTCTTAATTGTATAAATAAATTTTTCCCCTTCCATCTTTTGAATCATTACAAGCGTTTTGAAATTTGACGCCCCCGAGATATTAGTAAAGTATTTCTCTGCATTCCCTTGTGACAATTTGACTGGTTATGCCATTTCACGGAACTACAAACTTCGAGGCTTGCGAAGCCTGAAATTTGCCACGAGGACGGAAGTCCTCTGGCTTGCTTAATTGGAAATACTTTTGTTTACCTTTCACACTAAGTGAAGGGAGTTGATAATGGTAGCAGGTGGAAGGAGCTGAGTGACTTATTTCTTGCGCCTAGAAAGTGAGAGAACAAAAGAGTGACGATGTCAACCCTGAATCAACAGCGCAAAGTGGTGGAACAGTTGCGTTTGGAGGCGGGTATTCATCGACGTCCAGTATCGGAGTGCATTCGTGACATGATCGGCTTTATAGAACAATATCGAGACAAGGATTGCCTAGTAAACGGATTTGCTTCAAAGAAAGACAATCCATTCCAAGAGAAAGGCGGTTGTCAATTGCTCTAAATCGGTTGCTAAGACGTGCGGATAGAATGAAAGGTTTAAAGAGCCGCTGCTCTTTCCTCATCCCCTCCTCAACCCTGAATCCCTCCCAACCCTGCCCTTGTGTATAAAGCAAAATATTGAAATGTTAATCTGTGTACATATGTTGGTCGATTTGGTTTCTCTGTGCTGTTTGTTTTCACCTGCATCCTCTTCTCTTTGCCTCTCTTTCATGTGCACACAAACACGGCCTTACTCCTCCTCCTCCTCCTCTTCTCAACTAACTGCAATGCCAGAGGCTTGTTTTCGCTTTATCAATTCATCGTACAACCCCATGCTCATTATCCTCCTCCACTTGTTCCACTTTCGCCTCACAATACCACACGCACCTTCCAACACACACACACCAAAACGCCGTCAATTTCGCGAATAAAATATTGAAATTAGGTGGTTATTTCTTGGCTTTTGGTAAGCTCAAAGTGAAGATACGACGGCAGGTACATCCTGTGACCGACGCTTTGTATCGTGGAAGGGATCAACCTAAATCGTAGAATTCCAGCCAGCAGTTACATTTTTGATGAAATGGATGGACGTAGTGGGTAAGGCAGTAAAAGTGAAGACTAATTTACGCCTCCTGTCTTGAGTGCATTCTACAGGGGCGTGAGAATCGACTCTGATATTGGCATGCTTGATATAAATTTCGCTGACAATTTATTGATATCCAGAGCACGCAACAAAACAAACAATGAACAGTGAGAGATACGTAAAAGTTAAAGACTGCCTTATAATAGTATCAAGTCTTTGTGATTGCAGCTAAAATTAACAAGTCTTAAAAGGCAAAACTAGGAAGGTAAAGGCTCTCAAAATTTTACACACAACTTAATGCATATAGCAAAGATTTAAAGGAATATTGCAAAAAAGTACAAATGTTTAAAAAAAATTACGAGGGGTAGATCTGTGCAACATTTTGCTAACCCACCAAATCCACTCGCAGCGCTAAAAGCTACAAGTTCACATTCAGCGCTAGAACATACGGCCCACCTATTTTTTACCATCGGTAACACACTCAGTCTTCCCCTCCTTCCATACCACCACCACCACCTACACGCCGCCCCTATTACGGTCTCATGCCCTTGAAGTGGGCATGTGGTCTGTGGAGGCGAGGACGCGGTGTTTTGAGCACTCACGTGGTCGACAACGCTTACTCCACGTCCATAGGGAAGTCCACTTGGTTCCTCCCTCCACACCCGATCTCGTCTGCTCTCTCATGTGGCTGGTTTACCGCACCTCACCTCACCTCACCTCGCCTCACCCCATCTCATCTCCCATTCGCCAATCAACACGCAGCACGCACACGTCCATTGTGGATGAGGTTGGTGCATGCGGTGTGGTGGGGTGGATGCATGAAGCGAGGAGCAAAGAATGCGTGATGCGAAAAACAGATTGGCACAAGAATTGGAGTGCAAGGCTGTGAGGAGGAGGAGGAGGAGGAGGAGGAAGAAGAAGACGAAGGGGGAG